ATCGCCCACTCAAGAACGTTACACTACTTTTGGACGCGAACGCCGTAAAACATTTCAACTTCTTACTACAGGGCAGTGATTTCACCATTAAGACTGATCACAAACACCTCAGCTATTCGTTTAGTACATCTTATGACAAGTATTCATCACGGGAGGCCAGACAATTGGATTATATCTCTTAATTTACTACGGCCGCACCAACATTGTCGCAGACGCACTATCTAGAAAGGATATCAATATGATGGTACACAATCACGATATTAGCCTCAAAACCTTGGCTAAATTACAAGATGACGATGCAGATTTGAAAGTCTGCAAAGAAAATTCTAGCTTGAATCTCAAACCTCTACCGATTTCTTTCTCAAGTACATCTATCATCTGCGACACCCCAAAGGGTAATAATTCACCCTTTGTCCCACATGCTTGTCGCCTGAATGGTCTGTCACATCCAGTTATCAGAGTTACCATAAAGCTCATAACTGAACGTTTCGTTTGGCCGAAAATCAATTCGGATATTAAACGTTGGACACGTGGCTGCGTAGCAAGATCCAGAAACATACTAAAAGCCCAATCGAGGAATCCCCTATCCCCGACAAACGTTTCCAACATGTTCACTGGGATTTAGTTGGTCTCCTGCCTGTTTTTTACGAAACTTCACGAGATAAAGAAGACTGCACTGTGAATAAACAATCCCTCCCATCAATTACGACAAAACAAGAGGAGGATGAAAAACTGAGCATAAAATTTTCTTGCTTAACACGCTCCGGTAGACTTATTAAGAAACCTAAACGTTATGTACATTTTATAGACCAATAAAAGGCAAAAACATTCACCGATGCATATTATACTCTTAAATTTACTCAATTTTCTAATAAAAACCATTTCTTTTCTTCACGTGTACATAGACACATACGTTCCTAATTCCATCATGCCTGTGGACGTGATAACTGAATTATTAATTGACTATCATCTATATTTATAGACTGTTGTAACATTCCCATTGTATCCTATGTTTGGCTATCTTACTGTAGCCATATCAACCTTACAGGGATTAATAATTATCTATAATTGTGGATTCTGGTACCAAACGCAACAGAAAAATGCACCAGCCAGGTGATTTAAGTAACGTAAAGTCACTTTTATTTGTGTTCATAACATGTAAGTCGTACATTATTATATTGACTTTTGGACATAACTTTATTGCCATTTTTGAGTCAGTATACATGTTGGTCAGCCACAAGATGAAGGACATGGTGTTAAAGAGTTAGGGTAGATTGATGATAGGTTCACTTATGAGTGTTTATCAATTTAACTTCTCCTGTGCAGTTAGTTACATCGGCTATACTCATTGTTCCTCATCATCATGCATTCAGGTACAAGTACCGTCATGGTCAGTAACATGCTTTAGTGGATATATCAACAGTGTTATTCTATACCACTTGATTGACTATGGACATAATATTAAAGTTGAAGATGCCCTACATTATATCTTATCACATCCCTAGTCATCTATCAAAAAGCGCGAGTTAACGCCCAATGTCTCTAGCTAAAGTATATAGTGTTAATATAACTATTATTAATTTAGGTTAATTCTTCCTGTAGCGCTTCCGAGGTTACTGTCAGTCGCATTCATATTAATGAAGGAGGGTTGGGCATGTGGTGAACAACTCCATTGTGTAGAAAACAAGTTTTTAAAAATGCGCTAACCACAGTAGACAAATAAAATCATTCAAACTCTGTCCTCCGAGTTGAACAATCTTCATTCAGAAGAATTGTGATCCCTCATGATGAAAATCGTGATTCTTCACAAGTCATGAGACCGATGACCCTTCTAACAACCACAACAACAATTTTCAAAATTAAACTGAACATTCAGACAATATGGTAGACTATGAGGACTAGTCAAATAGCAATGGAAATGAGGAGATACAACTTGATGTTGGTGCTCTGAATCAGTGAAATCCATTGGATGGAATCTGTACAGAAAAGGATAGATTGGTGAAAGATGGTGTTGTACTGTGATTACGAATGGGAAAATGCTTTACACACTCAGGGAGTTGCTGTGATGCCGTCCTCAGAAGTATGGGAGGCACTTATCAATAGAGGTCTCATGGAACCAGAATCATCGAAATATTTTGCAGAACTAAGTATATGCGAATCACAATAAATGTTAACCAACGGTTTGCACCTACCAACGATATCAATGACGACGATGAAGACCAGTTGTAAGAGATGCTGCAATCAATCACAGCGAAGTGTCCTAACCTTCTTGATGAGAGATCTAAACGCCAAAGTCGGAATGAACAACAACGGTTATGAATATGTGATGAGACGACGTGGACTGGAATGACTTGGAGAAATGGATGACAACGGTGAGAGATTTGCAAGTCTATGTGCATTCAACAAATTGGTTATAGATGGCCAATATTTTCATACAAAGCTACATGGATCTCACTGGACCACACCACGGATAACCAGATTCACTATATTTAATACAGTAAAATATTCAGAAGGTCAATAGAAGATGTGAGAACCAGGAGAGGAACTGACATATCTTCAGATCACCACTAACTGGTGGTTGACAAGATGAAGCTGAAACTAAGGATACACTGGACAAACAGCACTACAATTGTTCAATACAACAGTTCTTCGAGATACTGACAAACTCAACGAATTCAAGATAACTCTCAACAACAGGTTCCACGCCTTACAGGATCAACTGAAAGAAGAAGAGACTACGATGAAGGACAACTGGAAAGTGATCAAAGAAGCATTAAATCGAAATTGTCAGGAGGTTTCCGATCACAAGAAGCATCACCACGAGAAATGAATCTCTATCGAAACCCTAGACAAAATGTAAGAAATGAAGAACAAGAAGACAGCAATTAACAACAGCTGGACAAAAACAGAGAAATTCAGGCACAAGTTGAATACACAGAAGCAAAGAAGCAAGTGGAGAGAAGTCATGGAACTGACAAGCGTAAATATTACGCGTAGAAGAAGCCAGCAGGGAAATATAATAAACCAAAAAGACCGGTTAAGGACAGAGACAATCATGGAAATTCAAGAACAAAAGTACGGATGGACAGAACACAATTCGAGGAACTCCTAAATAGACCTGTTCCACTGAACCCACTGAATAGGGAAACAGCATACACAGATTTTTCTATTGATGTCACTCCACCAACGATGGAAGAAATGAGGATGGGCATCAGACAATGTATGAGTGAGAAAGCAGTAGTAGCTGACAATATACTAGCTGAAGCTTTCAAATCAGACATAGAAATAATTGCAAGTATTCTCCACGTTCTATGCAGGAGGAATGTGGAGGAAGAACAAGTGCCACTGACATACTGTAAGGAAAAATACCTCATCAAGATACCAAGGAAGGAGATCTGACCAAATGCGACAACCACAGAGGCAGCGCACTGTTGTCAGTACAAGGGGAGGATTTCAATAGTGTTGCTGAACTGGATGGAAGACGCAGTAGACTCTCGACTTCGAGATCAACAGTCTGGATTCCGTAAGGATTGTTGTGCACAGAACAAATCGTGACAATACGGATGGTCGTTGAACAATCAATTGAATGGTACTCTTCACTACACACCAACTTCCTTGATTCTGAGAAAGCATTCTACTGTGTAGATAGAAGAACATTATGGAAACTCCTTCGACACTATGGTGTGAGTACCTGAGAAGATTTTCAACATGATGCGTAATTCATACGACGGATTAAGGTGCAAAGTGGTGAATGGCTGGCAGGTGACCGACGCTTTCCGAATGAGAACCGTAGTGTGACAAGGCTGCTTACTTTCTCCCTTTCTCTTTCTTCTAGTGGATGACTGGATTACGAAGACCTCCACAGAAGCCATTGCATCAGTAGGCCTCTGTTATAATTGTATTTTTGCTATATAAACGACCCAGCTATTCTTATTGCTTAGTATTCTTATACAATGGCACTCGACAGGACCCCAAAATCAGAACACTTTGAACAGGAATGAAATTGTATTCAAAATAATAATGATAAGTGAACAGCAATCACTAGTTTAAATAACGTTCATATATATATAGTATATACATAAGAAGCTTCTAAATTTTTCTCTAATAATATGCCCGGGCTGATCGGTTTAGAATTAGCCAATCAGCGCACAGCAACACCATCATGCATGAAACATGCATACATGCATACATGAAACATCCAATCTAAGTCCCACTAACAGCCTCAACATACGTATTTTTAAAACCAAGATCCTCAAATTCAATACAAAGTACACCAACACAATCATACGGGATAGAAAAACTCTGGAAGAGGTGGAAAGCTTCACGTATCTGGGTAACATCATCGATGAACAAGGAGGATCTGATGCAGACGTAAAGGCGAGGATTGGCAAAGCAAGGACAGCATTCCAACAATTGAACAACATATGGAACTCAAAACAACTGTCAAGCAATATCGAAGCCACAATCTTCAATACTAACTTCACGACAGTTCTACTGTATGGAGCTGAAACTCGGAGAACTACCACAGCCATCATCAATAAGGTACAAGTATTTATAAACAATTGTCTACGTAAGATACTCAATGTTCGTTGGACGGATACCATCAGCAACAGCCTACTGTGAGAGAGAACAAGTCAGGTTCCAGCTGAGGAGGAAATTGAGAACAGAAGTTGGAAGTGGATAGAACACGCATTGAAGAAGTCATGAATCTGCATCATGAGACAATCTATAACTTGGAATCCTGAAGGGAAACGTAAAAGACGAAGACCAGGGAATACATTGCGTCAGGAATCAGAAGCAGACATCGGAAGGATGAATCGCTACTGGAAAGAACTGGAAACGATTGTTCAGGACAGGGTTGGGTGGAGAATGCTGGTGAGTGGCCTGTGCTCCTCTATGAGGGGTCACAGGCGTAAGTAATCAAGTAAGATGACTGTGAATAAATACTATTGTATCTGTTATTGTCTTCTGCTTGATGAATTTGTGAAATGATAGGTGTCATGATTGTGGATGAGAGCTTATCGACTGTTGTTTATCTGCACAAAAGTTACTTGTCACTAGGTTTCAGTACAGATACAAAATTCAATCAACGTTGGGTGCGTATCTTCTTTCGTAGATATGTGATTCGAGCCAACACACATTAGAAGAAAATGGAAAACCAAGTCATATTTCATGTTTTAAACTGTTTAACCCATTATATGTCTGCTGACACTAATGCGACTAATGATTGGTGGTGTAGAAGTAGGTTAGAAGAAGACCAGGATGGTCAAACCAAAACACGTAACCATTGTGCCATGTTCTACGCTGCGTATTTGTAACTGGCTGATACTGGAAACGTTATGAGTTGTGTGTTGACAATTTATTGAGATACAAGCACTGCAAACTATAATGCAGCATGCCTTTATTTTTACTGCAAATGCCTCTTTTAAGTGTTTCGCTGACAAATAAATTTTAAAGACAAAATACAAGTTATGGGCATTTAGCATGATTTACACTTCTTGTTTACATATTTCAGGGAGGGTTTCAATTTCATATTTTACTATTAGAGAAGAAAAGCACAAGATTTTTGAAGGCCAAAATACCAGATCATGAGGTAAGATATATTTTCATAGTCTGTTCATTCATTCGTGCAGATATTTAAAAAACGAATTCAATTTGTCCATTGTTTTATGGTTACCTCTATTGCCTGTTTTGATGTTTTGTATCGAAGATTACTTCAGAAAGAAGACATTCTCGAAAACAGACTTGTGCTGGAAAGGCCTGATTAATAACGCATCAGTTGCAAAAGAAGGAGTAGATTGGGTCTCAGCTGAGATTTTGCATCTTCGTAGATTATTTGACTTCAGGTGAATGAAAATACCAATTTTTATTTTATCGTACACAAATCTGCATTTTTTGAGAACAACTAATACTTTCAATGGCGTTGAAAAATTATTCATGACGAAGTGATTAAAGGTGTAGTTTTCGTTACCAAATATATAAAGTTGTTGCCTAAAATAAATTCACTTTTAGATATTTAGTCTTCCAGTTTGTATTTTGTATAGGGAAGAGTACCTTATTAAGTATTTACTTACATCTTTACTTTATAATTCATTTGATACTTGGTAGCTAATCATCCAAGCTTGTGTCAACAATGTGTCATCATTGGACTATTTTGTTTGTGATTTCCAGTAACAGTATCTTTACCAGCAATTATATTAAACTTTCTGTGGATGCCTAAACTGTCTGTTTAGTGGTCATCATTAGTACAATGTTTACATTTAGCTTGTCCCTTATGTAGTTTGAAAATATTATTGTTATTGTGACACTGAGTCGACATGATTTAATTGATGAATTGCAGACATAAATATACTCAATTATTCTCAAATGGTTTTCGAAATTTACGACCAAATATATTTCGACTCCTATTTCGATATGCTGACATACGATGACATCCAATAGCACTTGCTTAGAAGTGCTTGTAATAGGAGTGGAATGATTGAGCCAGATATATGGAGTTAAATATTTTACCGTATAACTAAAGCTTATCTGAAAGAGTAGATCATTTCTGATTTCAAATCCCATGTTGTACATTTATTATAAATTGCCAAGACAATCGACCATCCATAAATTTACATTAATTACTAACTATCACTTCCAATGCAACTATTTTGACTTTGTATTTGAATTCCTACTTTTGAGACTGCTTGATCGTTTCAACAAGAAATTCATAGTTTGGTTGGTAATAAGAAGAAAGTATTGAATAATTACCTCAGTCTATATGATGAAAAATCACAAACCATGATCAGTGAATTCATAGTAGGAACTGACATTATTAATGAGTACAATCCCTTATTCGATTATCAGGAGATTTATTTAATTTATTACTTATGTATTGTTAGTTATCAATGTTGCTTAACTAAGCGATGTTATTTTTATTTATTTATTTGAACACATAAATATTGGTACAAAGGGGCAATCAGTGCCAATTGATTAAGTGCGGATTGCATGCCTTGGGGATTATCGCACAGTAAGACAATATCATCCGCATACTCAAGGTCGAGAAGTCGTTCTCCAGGCAACATATCCACACCGCCATTACTAACATCCATCAGAGCTGTTTCCAGAATGTCATCGATGACAAAGTTGGGGAGGAGTAGTGATATTGGGCAACCCTTTCTAACCTCACTGCTTGAATCGAACAATCGAGTAAGGTGAATGTATGCCCTCACTCTACCTGAGGTGTTTGTATATAGGGCCTTTAAGATGTTAACAAACTTCTCAGGCACACTTTTTTTCAACAGACAATCCCAGAGAACAGTCCTGTCCAACGAATCAAAGACAGCTCTGATGTCAAGAAACACTACAATTTTTGGCTTGTGATAAGTATGGCGGTGTTCTAACATTTGACCGAGGGTGGAAATATGATCAATACATCCTCGACCAGAACGAAAACCAGCCTGCTCCTCACTAGTCAATCTTTCTCGGGTTTTGAACAACCTACGAAGTGTGACAGAAGCCAATAGTTTGGACGCAATCGAAAGTAGACTTATCCCCGGTAGTTTGTACAGAAACGACGTGAAGCCTTTTTAAAGATAGGGACAACTATTGACTCAATCCATGGCGTTGGAACACTTTCTAGCTCCCAGACCTTTGTAAACAACGTTGTCAGTTCCTTAACCGGGAAGTCACTACCATCTTTAAAAGGAGCCGGAGGTAAGTCATCTGGGCCCGGTGATTTGTAGCGCTTTAAGAGTTGGATTTCCTTGCGGACTTCCGCCTCATTTGGTAGAGCGGTCGTCACCGGTTATGGAGTCCAGGACAGTCTGATTGATGTTGCAGGAGCAGCAGGCCGGTTGGACTGCGGCAGTCTTTTACACAATCATGCCAGCGGTAGCTGATAGCGATGTCATCAATCTGAGTCTAGGCTTGAGATTCAGAGGGAGGACGCCAGGTGGCACATCGACGATGACTGTGTCAGAAGTTAGTGCTAACCATAAATAGGTTGTGGTCCGTGCACAGTTGCAGTAGATGGTCCCCGTTATCTGTCCTTTGACCAACAAGTCCCCATCGGCCACCTAAACTACTCTCTTCTGTGCCTAGACCCCCGACCTGTGCATTCAAGTCTCCGGCTAGTACTACAATATCTGTCGAACGCACTTTCTGGAGAAGAACAGATAAATAGTGGCCAAATTCATCCTTGATTGCATCCAGACTGCAATCTGTCGGGGCATAGGCGAAGATGATAAAAGGACATCGTTTCTCACGCTGATTTCTTCTCACTTTGATGGACCTTTCTAATTTAACAGCACATAACCGATTATTAATAAGAATCCAATCCATTAGTGCTGCCTCAGATCTAGCGCTTATTGCGACTCCAACGCCGGCAATACTAGACATAGATATCACAGGGTCTCCAGATAAGCGCACGTAAAGCAAGCCTTTTGAAGCTACAGATGGAAAGCGAATTTGTAATACTTCACCAGATTCTTGAACACGGGTCTCGGATAGACAACAAACGTCTATATTAAGACTTTCTAAAGACATAGTCAGCCCTATCTGTTGTCCGATCTGCATTAGTGTGCGAACGTTGGAAGAAGCCAGTTTGGATGATGTACGTGGCTTCAGAAAACCTGTTTCAGTATTCGTATTCGGTAGTAGCATTCAATTTTCGACCGTTAAGTGACTCTAGATCGTTTGGATAGAACAGAGTTTCTATCATAGGCGGACTGCTGTATAAGTTGAAAAATAAGGATACACAAAGTGTGAATAAAAGAGAATGAATAAGTGACGTGGTGAATAATAATAATAATAATAATAATAATAATAATAATAATAATAATAATAATAATAATAATGTGAACTGTTTGACTTTTAATCGAAGCGTTAATAGTATTTTCAGTAAATATCGTCATTTTGTTTTATTTGTGTGTGGGCTGTGATACTGCCCGGGTGTCCAGACCGAAGTAGATTGTTTTCTTAGGGGGCCACACCTCGAGCCTTTGACCTAAAAACCTGATCCACAAAGCAGTGGAGCATCATGAGGAGATGCAGTCCCATGGTAGACGGTGACCAACAATTGATTCACACGCCATTTTTCCCTTCATGATACTGGAGCCTATGTGTACCATTGGTTTGGAATCAGGGTTTTCCAACTCCCCTAGGTGAACTCATCATGTCCACCCGCCGGGTTAAAGCTCTGGACATTCGCTTTTCGTCCTCTCAATTTCGTGAACAACACCGCCCGGAGAAGGCAATAGTTAAGACTTTCCTGGCAGATGCTCTATACGCTTAGCCGTGTGAGAGCATTTCGAGAGGGAGAGCTGACTCTTCCCACTCTCGGCTGTACCAAGGCATTGGGGGGCACTGAGCGATGTAGATCATGTTAATATGTTTCAACAGAACAATTAACATCACTATAATAACACTTATACAAAGTCCAACATTTCTTATATAATACTAATGAACTTTTCACTTTTCTGTTCCAGTGAAAGTATTTCAATGAAAACCATCAACATGGATCAGATAACAAGTAGGTTGTTTTATTCTTCTTGTTTAATAATAGTTGCAATAAAAGTGATAGTGGCTTTATTCATTACTGTGTTTAGTAAAATAATGGACTTTCATCATACAATATTTCCACAAGTTCATCTTACTCTTTTTGTAACGCAAAATATATCTGCATAAGTATATACGTGAGATAGGTACAGAAATTATCCCTGTGTTAATCTCTTGTAAATGAGCACCATCAAGCGCATTTGTAAAAGCTCATAATAATAAGAGAAGTTATAACAGGGGCGACGGGTAAAGGAAAACACATTCAGCGTGCCGATATCAGATGACCAGCTCAACCGAATACTACAACAACAGCAAGCACAACTTGATGAACAAATGCGGTTGTTGGAGACTCTGACGCAACAGTTCAACATCCACTACTCGAGTTCACATGCTGTTTCAAATACTTCTTGTGATGCAGTTGCTAGGAGCATTCCAGAATTCATATGTGACACCGAAAGTGGGAATACCTTTCTCACGTGATTCAACCGTTAGGAAGATACATTTAGAATAGAATTCTGTAAACAAGATGACGCTTGAAAGACTCGATTGTTGATGCGTAAGTTGGGAAGCAATGAACATGCACCATACGCTGACCATATATTGCCAAAGTTACCTCGAGAGCTCAGCTTCGAGGAGACAGTAACACAATTGTCACAGATATTCTGTGAATCGTCCTCATTGTTTAGTATTTGATATCAGTGTCTAAATTTGGTGGAACGTGAAGTCGATGAATATGGTGCTCTAGCAGATTTCGTTAACAGAGAGTGAAAACGGTTGAAGTTACGCTCGTTGACAGAAGACCAATTTAAATGCCTAATATTCAGCAAAGCTCTTCAGTCACCACAAGATGCTGAGATTAAGACAAGACTTTTAACTCACCTGGATCAAGACCCAAACGTCAAACTAAGGACATTGACAGACTAGTGTAAACGACTACAAAACATCGGACACAACAATCAGTTAATCGGACCGGTAAATCCTAATTTATCCTGCAGTAGTATTAATGCTATTACTAGGTTAAAAGTTCAGAAGCCGAATAAAACTCGTAACAAACCAACGACTGCCTGTTGGTTATGCGGTGATTGGCATTATGTACGATTCTGTCCATCTAAAAATTACAAATGTCAGGTGTGCAACAGACATAAAGAAGGCCATTGTCCACCGAATTGTACGTCCCAGCCCAAGAAAAAGTACCACTTCCTCGACACGTGGTGAAATCAGCCGAGTTTAAATCTCTTTGGCAGCAGCCTTTCAAACAGATTATGACATTCGAAGAAAGTGTGTTGCTATCCAGATAAACGACATTTTAGCTCGTCTTCAAATTGACACGGCATGAGATATCGCCCTAGTATCCAGAGAAACATAATTTGCTGAGAAAGCCGCCAATGAATCCATTGAAGAAAACGGCTAAAAAAACGCACCTGGAGGTGTACTAAAACTAGTTGGTGAATTACATTGTGAATTTTTCTCCAATGGAACTAATTGTAAAAGACCATGCTATCTGACTGAACGGCCAAACCTTGATCTCCTTGGTCTAGATGTGTTAGAAAAACTTGGAATAATGGATATACCCACTAACAGTGTCTGCAATGTGTCATGTTCATCATTGGACACTCCAGTACTTGGAAAGAAGTCAGGTGAAAGGTTACTAGAAAAAGTGAAGACAAAGTTTGCCTCTGTTTTTCAGAATAGCCGTGGTCAGTGTACCAAGATGAAAGATCACTTACGAGTGAAACCAGATGCCAAACCTATTTTTCGTCCGAGACGTCCTGTACCATATGCTGCTCTTGAACTAGTCGATCAGGAACAAGCTGGTGTAATCCAACCAGTCAACTACTCTGCATGGGCCACACCGATCGTAGTGATTAAGAATGTCAATGGAACTTTACGCATATGTGCCGATTTCTCAACCGGTTTAAATGCTGCTCTAGACGTATATCAATATCCGTTACCAGTTCCTGAAGACCTGTTTGCCAAGCTTAATGGTGTAACACGTTTCGCGAAAATAGACTTCTCCGATGCCTATCTGCAAGTGTAAGTATATGAAGATAGTAGAGAGCTTATGACCATTAACACTCATCGAGGGTTATTTCAATACACCCGTCTACCATATGGCATTAAAGCCGCACCTGATATCTTTCAGCAAATAATGGATACGATGCTAACAGGTATACGTGGTACAGCAGCTTATCTAGATGACATCATAGTTATGGGTTCAACTGACAGTGAACCTTCTAATCGATTGCATCAAGTCCTTAACCGAGTGTTGGAGTATGGTTTCCGTTTTCATGCATTCGATCAAATACCTTGGTTTCATCTTAGATAAGAACGGTCGCCTACCGAATCCTGCCAACATCGAAGCTATTCAGAAGATGCCTGCACCAACTGATGTTGCTTCATTAATATCCTTCTTGGGGTTGATCAGTCATTAAAGCACATTCTTGCTCGAAATGCACCGAATGAGAGGTCTCCTGAATGAATCAAAAGATAAACCTTGGCAGTGGTCAAGCATTTTTTGACAAAGTCAAATCAATGCTCAGCTCAAAGCCTCTTTTGACACAGTTCGATCCCAGCTTGGGAATTGTTGTTGCATCTGATAACTCTGGTCATGGAGTTGGAGCAGTGATATCTCACGTGTTTCCGAACAAATCGTAAAAGACAATTGCCCATGCTGCTAGATCACTCACCCCAGCTGAGAAAAACTACAGTCAAATTGAAAAGGAAGCTCTTGCAATCATTTTCGCCGTGAAAAGGTTTCATAAAATGCTCTATGGTCGTACGTTTACTCTACTGACAGATCACAAACCTTTGATTGCAATTTTCGGTTCTAATAAAAGAATCCCTATCTATACGGCTAATAGATTACAGCGCTGGGCAACAATGCTCCTAAGCTATGATTTCAATATCAAGTTTCAGTCAACAAATACTATCTGTCAAGCTGACGCTCTCTCTCTATTAATTGGAGTTCAACACCCTGGATCAGAGTACATAATCATTGACTCCACAGCAGTAGATCCAGAAATACGGAGTATAGTAGTAGATACCATTCGAAACACTCTAGTGTCGTCAGATGAAGTCAGAGAAGAAACTCTTCGAGATCCAGTCCTACAATAAGTTAGGAAGTTCCACCTAGAAGGGCGACACTCGAAGATCAGCTCCACAGAGCTTCAACAGTTTCACCAGCGTAGACTCTCTCTCAACCATCGAAGACTGCCTGCTGTTTGCCGAACATGTCATAATCCCTAAGAAGCTGCAACCAGCAGTGCTCGAATAGTTGCACACAGGACATCCTGGAATAAATCGCATGAAAACACTATCACGAAGTTATGTATACTGGCCGCATTTAGACACCCAACTGGAGCAGCTATCTCGTCCATATACTAAATGTACATTAGCAACAAAAGCACCGTGAATGCCACAGTCACCGTGGCAGCGTATACACTTGGACTTTGCTGGTCCACCACATGGACAAATTTACCTTCTGTTAGTTAATGCATACAGCAAGTGGCCAGAAATTTTTCTCACGGAACATCCAACTGTAAGCTGCACAGTCAAAAAGCTACGTCAAATATTCAGTCGGTTCGGGTCCCAGAATTTATAGTTAGCGACAATGGAACACAGTTTACGTCTGCTATCTTCTCAGAATTCTGTCAGCAGAACGAAACCAATCATGTCCGAACACCTCCATTCCATTCCCAATCCAATGGTCAAATGGAACGCTTTGTTGGTACATTTAAAAATGCTCTGAAAAAAATATAAAGGAGAGGTTACCACCGAAGAGATCTTAGAGAGGTTCCTGCTTATTTGTCGTTCTACATCGAACTCTCAGACGATTAACGGAGTCTCTCCAGCGGAAGCTCTACTTGGCAGAAAAGTACGAACACATTTAGATATCATCCGTCGGACGCCAGCTCTCGAGCCTCAACGAAACGTGTCAATGGAGAAGCAGTTCAATCGACAATATGGGGGAAAGACGATTGTTCACGGTGGGTCAAAAAGTACTTGCTATGGACTATCGTAGAAAACATTCTAAATGAACTGCCGGTCGGATCGTGATAAAGAAAGGGAATGTGTATTATGAGGTGTCAGTTGGCTCAGAAGTTTGCATACGTCATGCTAGCCAATTGAAAGCAACTTCGATAGCCAGCAACAAGACTCGACATCGAATACTTCTTGATGTTCTGTTAGATACCTTTCAAATAAAAACGCCCAGAACAGACAGGTCAGTTTCTGTGCAAGCGAAGAGTGATACAACTTCCTTATTGCCTAGAGGATGGACAAATCGAAAACACAGACCAGTCATGCGGTTACAGATAGACCCTAACACCAAATCCTACGAATCTGCTCAAAGGGGAGGTGTTAGCGAGACATAGATTGGATTAAAGCATGTTCCATGCAAGATTGCGCTGGTGCATGCTGATTGATTAATTCTTATTCAATCAGCGCTAGTCGATGTTTGGAGAAGACTCTAGAATCTTCTCATGTAAAAACTATAAATATACTAACTTATTTCTTATTGCACTTCGTACTTCCATTTACTCTTGTTATTCGAAATATAATTTCTTTCCTGTTCAACCGTGTTCTGATTTGGGGATTTGTTGAGTGTTTTGGTGTCCAAGAATACTAAGCAATAGGAATGGCTGGGTAATAATAAGAGAAATTATAACATGATGATATTTTATCGTTTATCCCGTGTGAAGGCAAATGCCATGTGAAACATACTTGTGAATTTACACTCTTCAATTAGGCGGATAACGAAATGGTGGTATGAAAGATTATGGAAAAACATCTTAACACATTTTATTGTAATAAAATCCAGGATATCAGTTAAATGATTCACTCATTCCATCCGCTACTCAAGAAAATGAAAATACTTCTCTGTTCTGAAAAATAGATAAACACTTAACCGCGATTCGATTGCCCCCAAATGCCGTGGTAGGGCCGAGAGTGGGGTGAGTCAACTATCCCTCTCTCCTCTCACATGGACACGCGAATATACAGCCTCTGCCAGGGAAGTCCTACTCACTGCCTTCTCGTGGCACTACTTTTGTTTACGGAATTGAGAAGACGAAAAGCGAATTTTTGGCGCTTTAACCGGGTTGGTGGACATGGAAAGTTCACCCACGGGAGTTGGAAAACCTCTATTCCAAACCATTGGTACACATGGTCTCCAGTATCCTGAAGGAAAAAATGGCGTATGAACCAATTGTTGGTCATCGTCTACCATGGGACTGCATCTCCTTACGATGCTCCACTACCTTGTGGACTAGACCTTCAGGTCAAAGGCTCCGGGTGTGGCCCCCTAAGGAAACCACCTACTTCAGTCTGGGTACCTGGGCAGTATCACAGCCCTCACACAAATCAAATAAGATTCGTGAGGCGCATATTTATCTGGTCCTTCCTTGTACCAATATTTATATGTTTAAATAGAATAACAAAATAACCGCGATTCGCAATCTGTTTTACTCAGTCAAACACTGCTAATTGTTGAGCTATTCACTGTCTTTGACATCAAATTCAACCATTGTCGTAGATGACATCTTCGTTCATTTTCATTTGATTATGGATTTGGTTCATTGAATTATGAATGTCAATCTTATCAGTTGATAGAAATTTGTGGTAGATACAACAAGAACCACTCAACTTTGTATGTATTTTTTTCACTATACGGTATCATAATCTGTTTCAGTATCTTCTGAATGAACTATCCCGCTAATTCTGATAATTAGTGTTTGCATATTCTTATAACCTAAGCGTTTTTATTTAAAAGTGGTAGAATTCGCCTCCTAATTCCACCGACAATGCTGTTAAATACTTGTTATGTTTGAAGAGATTATGAGTTCACCTAATTCACTAACGGGACGAAAACTCAGCGATAAAATGACCAAATAAGCTAATTATTTGGATGCATTCCAGCTTTGCTAACTAGAAAGATGAATGTAGGTTTGGGTGAGGGAAAACGTATTTCACAAGCAGCCAGAAGTACGAATTACAACAGGCACAACTCGAGCTTCTTTACACAGAATGAAAATGTCCTCGGGAAACGTTACAAAATATCATATTGAGAAAGACAGCGAACCAATGACATTTAAGGTCAATGGGCGCTTTGGCGTGAAAACAGGAAATTTAAATTTCCATAATAAAATTACAAAAATAAGACGTTTATCAAGTGAGTTCTGAGTATCTAGTATCTTCAACAATACTAGATATTGTCCAGTATATCTTGATACAGAGCAAAACTTTATACTTTAACTGTCCGAAAGACATGGAGATGAGAGAGAAGATAAGAAAGCCATATTGAAAATAAATTCAAATTGACCCATCAGATTAAAAAAAATATCATCTCTATGCATATTGATGTATAGATTGACTTTGGATTGAGAATGGGTTAATTTTTATTAACTAACTGAGATGAATGTCAAATCTATCCAGACGTTTAATCACATAGTTGAGATGGTTGTGAAGTTCAAGTTGACAGTGAAGACTTATCCAAGAACGATTCTATCATTATAAAATATATGTAAGTTGGTTACAAATCTCAACTCATTAGGTTTCTGTGGCTATCACCACATCTTTATGTATGGAAAGGAACAAACTCCTATAAACATTTGTCTACCTTCTTTTAGTTAATCTTAATAGTTTTTGAAAGAATTAACATTCAGCCTATATCATAGATAAAATGAAATTGAATAACTGACAATCGTCATAAGTATGTGTAGTGCCGGGATGTGAAGTAATAATGTAATAATATATTAAATTGAATAAATGACTCTGGATTATGTGTTGCATAAATTGAACGAAGTAACTTATATGAAATGTGTTCGAACTTGCGGCCTGGATGCCGTACTAGTGTATAACGTGATAACACCGCCAACTAGAGAGTAGTGTTTTACCAATCAGATCAAAATGCATAAAACTTGAGCGAGTGGTCTAGAGTACATATCAGTCCTGCTTCCCGCCTAGCTCAGCCGGTTAGGTCCAGAACACCAATAACAGCCTTTGCAGCATGAATCATTTATTTGAAACATGCTAGGTTTATATACCAAGCAGACAGACCACATCGTACCATCAAATAGAAAGCAATATTTGTATAAGAGTTAGTCAAATGCAGCTGTGAACAAGGTAGATAGAAACAGATAGAAAAGGCATACCTTAAGAATGGTAAATCATATAATAATAGTTCATAGGTCAAAATAAAACTGATGTCGACAGATATAAGTAGTATGTATCATCAATCGAAAGTGAAATGTCTGGCAGCAGAAGGTTAAAAATATAGAAGAAGAGAGAACGATAATAGGGAGTGGTTTGTGTGGAAACGAAGGTACAGTTAAGTTTGAGACAATTAACTAACATTTTACAAATGAAGAATTTACTGTGTGGTTCTCAGGTTTTATTAGGAAATTTTAGTTAATTGAAGCTAGCCCACCATGAAAATCCTAGAAGCACTGGACGGCCGCTTCGCCCAGTTTTGGGACCCCTCAGCAGTGCGCGATACCGCCCCGCTAGATTCGAACCCATACGTGGTTGTACTACACTGGTCACTACGTTTCACTAGAACTCCAGAAAATATCTTTTGAAGCCAGTCACTAGTGAGCATGTTGGTAAATATCAGAAGGGTTTTTTGGATATTATGGTAATTTTACTAGTTGAGATCATGAGTCGATTGAAGCTAGACCACCATAGAAAACCTGGAAGCACTTCTGAGGAGTCCCTTAATAGAACGAAACTGCTGTTCAGTGCTTCCAGGTTTTTCATGGTGGTCTAGTTTCAATTGACTCATGATCTCAACAAAACACCTTCTGTTAATAAGAAATGCTGTAATTTTGTATTCAAGTAAATTTGGTTATCCCCATTTGTGTTCTCGTTCTCGATAGTACAACTGTTAGCAACGCATTTTCAAACAACTCATCTAAAGTTACATAGTCTCTCCGTTAATCCTATCCGGAAGTATATCTTATGAGTTCATAGGAATTCCAAGCTGATTTTACACTACCAATACCAAGGTTGGACGTGGTGGTTTCAAACGAATTGAGCACTGGGTAGAGAGAGACTCAATAATAAATATATTTGTTAGTGGGATATAGTTTGGATTAAGGCATGTTCCATACAGGTCAGTATGTATCCAAACAAAGTGTGACACCACTTCGTTATTGCCTAGTAGGTGAACAAATCGAAAACAGGTACACCCTAACACCAGATCCTACGAATCTGCTCAAAGAGAATGTGTTAGCCTAATATAGATTGGTTTACGGCATGTTCCGTACAGGATTATGTTGAGACATGCTGATTGGCTATTTCTTACCCTAGCAGCGCTAGTTGGTACTTGAAGAAGTATGTTATGTAATGAATATAAATATCTAAAGGCTTTTCTTATTATGATTCATACTTTCATCCAACCTTGGGTTTTCCTGAAAATCCCGGAATACTACTAAACATAGTATCAGTGTAGCAAACAGTTAACCAAAAACTCTCAATGTGACTTTTCACTTGCATGATGTTTCTAGATAAACGTCTAGTCAAACGCTGATTGGATAAAGTGCTTCTTAATGTTTCCTGAGTCTTTCATGATCGCTTCAACAATAATCATGAGAAAATCATTGTGGACTTGTATCTCATGAATGATTATATGATCTATACCTAGTCAGGATTATGTAATGAACAAATATAATTGATTTGACTGGTATATATCACTGTTGATCAAATGAAAAGATGGAGTAGTATTGTAGTGTGGTTCATAAGTAGTATATGGTGATAGTCAGACATAGAATGTATTTTGGCAGAAGATCGATAAGGAAGGAAGAGAAATGAAGCACAATCGGTATGAAAATGCATGAAGAATGAAATCAGAGAAGATGTACTGATATTTGCAGAACGAACAGTTAAGATTAAGACGATTGATGGTTATCAGAATTTAATAAGATAGTCCCCACTAGTGTTCTCATTCACTACAGTATAAATGTTCATTTACAGTTAAGAAAGAGGAAATTAGGAAAAGACGTTGGAAGTGGATCGGACATACATTAAGGAAATCACCAAACTGCATTACAAGGCAATCCCTAACTTGGAATCCGGAGGGGAAGCGGAAAAGAGGAAGGCCAAAGAACACATTACGCCGGAAAATAGAAGCAGACATGAAAAGGATGAACAGCAACTGGAAAGGAAGGCTCAGGACAGAGTTGGATGGAGAATGCTGGTGAGCGGCCTATGCTCCTCGACGAGGAGTAACAGGCGTAAGTAAGTAAGTAAGTAAGTAAGTAATAAATGTTCATTTGATTTCTAATAAGGAGAAATATTTACCGTGAATATTTTGATTTCAGATGTAAATCGGATTGGTATTTCTTATGAAACACTTAGACGTCGTGCTTTGAACTACTTACATGAAGCACAGAATACTTTGACCAATTTACACAGCATTTCTATCCAATTACAAGGACTTCATCATAAGGATTTGAATAATGAAACAGTTTCATCTATTCAAGCATCATTAATTCGCTATCGACAGAATGTGGAGGAAATTATTTTACATTTGGTAATTATTCTTAACAAATTAGGTCAATTAGATGGATTTTCACAAATCCGAATGATTGGCTTAAATAAGCTTTCACAGAGACTACAGAAGAAGATTCAAGAGCAACAGGTTAGAATCGATTACTTATTTCTTACCACTTTCGACTATATATCAAATTGTTAAATTTCTACAAAAGTGAGGAATTGATTAAGACCTGTGAAATGATATTTGATTCCCCTTGAAATACTTATAAGGCCTATTTTGCATAGAACGATCAGTGAACAACAACTCATCCACCATAAGTCAACGCAGTTGAAATCAAGAATACGTCATTCACCTGACTGGCATATATTTTATTCCACTATCTGTAAATACAAAAGCTTAGAAGAGATATATGAAAAAATCTGATACCGATCTGGTTATCTATGATTCTGTCTGAACCCTTTAGCCAAACATTTTGTACTGTCACCTACGAGACAATATGAGAATATTCAAGAATGGATTAAATAGTTCACTATAGTCATGTTGTAGTGTGGTCTACTTATATCCATATAAGTAGTATATGGTAATGGTTAAACATAGAATATATATTTTGGCAGAAGACCAATAAGGAACGAACTGAAATAAAACGTAATCGGTAGGAAAATGCACAAACAATGAAATTAAAGAAGATGGATTGTTATTTACAGAAGGAATAGTGAAGATTAAGACGACTGGTTGTTAATTTGCAAATTAACTGTTTGTTCTATGGTTAACAGAATTTAGTGAGATAGTCTGTAATTTGTACCTTAATACATTCGATTGTCCCATAATAGGACGAAATGGCCGTCCAGTGCTTCCAGGTTTTTCATGGTGATCTAGCTTCAATTGACTCATGATTTCAACTTTGAAAAATACAGAAATCTCCACAAAACCCCTTCAAATTAACTGTTTGTTCCATGGTTAACAGAATTTAGTGAGAAAAATTCATTCAGTATTGTTTGTTTGAATCTTCCCATTGATGTGTTAGGACTGCAACTGGTCAGTCTCTAATTGGCATATATGCATACTGTGCGTATTGCTTCGATATAGCCTTAATTCACAAGCATGATAGGCAAAGATGGATAGTGGCTAACAGTGGAATCCAGAACGCGTGTTTCTTCCTATTTGGGACTCGTCAGCTGGATGTACCTGTACTGGGTTCGAGTCCCAGAGTGAACATCAACTCTGCTGGATGCAGGTACATCTAACTGACAAGTCCCAAATAGGACAAAACACGCGTCTACCCAAACTATATATGGTGTATATTATTGACAAACAATATTAACCTTTAAATTATTATGATGATTGTATCTATGATATTTTTGTTAGTAACGCTCACAATGTGTTTATTATTATTCAATCGAAAAACTTGTATTTTACCCTGTTATCTTCTATAAATAGAATCCTGCAGATTGTAAAATGGCCAAATATGTAACATTTGACTATACTAATTTATGTGGATTTGGTTGTTCCATGCATCAACTCATGTTTTGTTTACAATTGGCTTTTGAAAATGATCGAGTTTTAATAGTGAAGAATCATCCTCCTGGAGATATTTTTCGAAAATGGCTTCATCAGAACACACTTCCACTTTCTGAGAAATGTAGTCATCTGGATACAAATGGTAGATCAGGTTTGTAAATGATAATCTTTATTATCGATTTCTTGTAATTGTCAGATCTTTATGATTGTCTTGAACTATTTAGTGGAACATTTTCAATTATCTTTTGAAAAAAAAGAAGAAGAAATACTGCAAACCATTCACAAGAACCCATCAAGTAACATAGCGCTGTATACTATTTACATAAAAGAACGTGTAAACATACCTGGATAGTGACTAGCAGTGGAATCCAGTTTGATGCTCGTCACTTCGTCCTATTTGGGACTTGTCAGTTGGATGTACCTGCATCCAGTAGAGTTGATGTTCACTCTGGGACTCGAACCCAATACCTTTCGCTTCAAACACCATCGCGTTATCCACTCGGCCATTGAATCCTGATAGCCACTTGCTTGTGCAATGGGGTGAATTTTAAATTCACTTAGTATTGTTTGTTTGAATCTTCCCATTGATATCTTAGGACTGCAACTGGTCAGTCTCTAATTGGCATATGTGCATACTGTGCGTATTGCCTCGATATAGCCTTAATTCAGTAGCATGGTAAGCAGAGATGGATAGTGACTAGCAGTGGAATCCAGTTTGACGCGCGTCACTTCGTCCTATTTGGGACTCGTCAGCTGGATGTACCTGCACCTTATTATTAGCAAAATTTCATGTCCTATTGTTCGTCCTAATATTGATAGAATCTCGCTCAATCACTTTTTATTACGGAGTAAAGTTCTGACTCACAAATCAGTTATTATCTTTGGTTAGTAGACATTCGATATACAATTTATCATGTTTAATGAATATTTTCGTTCTATTCTTTACTTCAGATAACATCCAATGTCCTCGTCTTCGATATGGTCACATACATAACTTGTTGCTAAATGTTCTACCCATAAATATGAATGCAGAATTATTACGTTTACATGAGGCACCATATGTTTGGTTTGCTGGTCAACTAGCAGCCTATATTTTGCGTCCAAGGCCACAATTTGCACAATTAATCAATGCAACCTTGAAGAGCTTCAAAATGAGTGGTGATCCTGTTGTTGGTGTGCATATCAGACGTACTGATAAGGTTGGTGTTTGTTTATATACCTAGTTAGAATATGGTATGATGCACTTTATTGTTAATTGTTCAGAATCTTGGCAGTGCATGTTCAGAATGTAAGGCAAGTTTTCAGTTTGTTGTAGTAGTTTTGTTTTTGGATTGAAATACGTTTAAAAATTGGGTTTGTCATTCAGAAATCATCATCTTTGTCAATGGAATACTGGTTGACAGATTTGGTTGATTTCGATATATTTGGTTTAGCGAAGGTTCGGGGTTTATCTTTTAATCAGATGTTTGAATGAAATAAACAATTTGTGATATTATTCCATGCAAGTAAGTCTGTTAAGCGTTACCGATTGGCTTTCTGTATAGACTCTAAACATCAAACTATTAGTCTACTGACCACTGGTATATTGTTGTTCTTCAGGATATATCTTGGGAGGAGAAGTGTCCCAAATATTCACATTTCAGCTGGTAACGTGGTACAAGTACCCCAAAGTTCAGTACTATGTTTGAAAACATGTTTATTTTCTGCCTTCACATGTTGCTGTATATCAAGACGTAAACATGAGTAGATCCATTACAGTACGTATCTAAAATATACTTTTATTTCTCCACCTATAGCCCCTCCGGGGGCTACTGCCGGTCCTAAACCCGGATAAAAGAGGAGAGTTGTATATGGGGTTAACGACCCCATTCCGCAGAAAACTAACTCGCTAAAAAACCGCTAACCAGAAAAAATTATTAAAACTATTCAAACTCTGCCCTGGGAGTCAGAAGCTCTTCATTTACTAGAGTTATGAAACCTCACGATGAAAGCCGAGTTACTTCGGAAGTCACGAGACCGATGCCCCTTCTAATAACCAGAGCAACAATTTTTATAGGTACATAGAACATCCAAACAATGTGGAAGACCGGAAGTGTCTTCCGAATTTCTCCAGAAACTAGAAGATACTACCTGGAGGTACTTTGAACCAGTGAAGCACATTGGATGCAGGTTGGACAACAACGATTAGCTTCAGGAGAGCTTCTATTATACTCCAGCCTTGAAGAAGGAAATGCCTCACATGCACAAGGAGTTGCATGCTGTCCAAACAAACACGAAATGCACTTATAGGATGGGAATCTGATGGACCAAGGATCATCAAAGCCTCCTTCAAAACAAAGAAAGAGGGCATTACAATAAACGTCGTCCAATGCTATGAGCCTACCAACGACTATGGTGAAGACGTTAAAGACCAATTCTAAGGTAGGCTGCAGTCGATCGTCGAGAAGTGCCCAACAAAGGACCTGACCATTCTGATGGGAGATCTAAATGACAAGGTTGGAATAGACAACTCTGGATACAAAGACGTCATGGGAGAACATGGACTGGGAGAGAGGAATGAAAATGGAGAGAGATTTGCGAACATATGTGCCTTCAATAAACTGGTCATAGGCGGCACTATATTCACACAGAAACGCATTCACAAAACCACATGGACTTTACCGGACCACACTACACAGAACCAAATCGACCACATCTGCATCAACAAAACGTTCAGAAGGACGATGGAGGATGTGAGAACCAGGAGAAGAGCTGATATAGCATCAAATCATCACTTGCTGATCGCCAAGATGAAATCAAAACTTAAGAAGCACTGGACAATGAGGCAAACAACATCACAAAAGTTTAATACGGCTTTTCTTCGGAATATGAACAAACTCAATAGATACAAGATAGCCCTCAACAATAAGTTCCAGGTCTTTCATGATCTACTCAATGGAGAGGGAACTAATATGGAGAGCAACTGAAAGAGGATAAAAGAGGCAATTACTTCAACATGTCATGAGGATCTGGGCGACAAAATTCACTACCATAAGGAATGGATCACTGTTGATACACCGCATAACATTGAAGAAAGGAGGAACAAGAAGAGCAGAGAAAGCCAAGGCACAAGCTGAATACACAGAAGTAAACAAGGAAGTGAAGAGTAGCATCAGAACCGACAAATTTAAATAGGTGGAACATCTAACAATGATGACGGAAAAGGCTGCAAAAGAAGGAAACATGAGACAACTGTGTGGCACAACAAAGAAACTCTCTGGAAATTACCGTAAACCAGAACAACCAGTGAAAAGAAAGGAAGGCAAGGTAATGACCAACATTGAAGAACAAGGGACAGGTGGGTAGAACACTTCAAAGAACTTTTGAATTGACCGGCTTCACTGGACCCACCTAACATCAAAGCAGCACCTACGGACCTCTCAATCGATGATGGCCCACCAACAATTGAAGAAATCAGCATGGCCATCAGATAAATCAAGAGCGGCAAAACAGCAGGACCGGAAGACATTCCGGTAGGGGCACTGAAAGCAGATGTAGCAGCAACTGCAAAGGTACTCCAAATTTTCTTCAGTAAGATTTGTGATGAAGAACAAGTACCAACAGACTGGAAAGAAGGACTTCTGATCAAAATACCAAAGAAAGGCTATCTCAGAAAATGTTATGACTACAGATGAATCACTCTTCTTTCAGTACCAGGAAAACTCTTCAACAGAGTATTGTTAAACAGAATGAGGGACTCCGCAGACGCCCAACTTTGAGACCAACAGACTGGATTCCGTAATGATCAATCGTTTACAGACCAAATCGCAACTCTACGGATCATTGTGGAACAATCAATTTAGTGGAATTCATCACTCCACATCAACTTCATTGGACTACGAGAAAGTATTTGATAGCGTGGACTAGACAACACTATGGCGGCTTCTTCGACACTACGCCGTGCCTGAGAAGATAGTCAATATCATACGGAATTCCTATGATGGATTAAACTGCAAAATCATGCTTGAGGAATAGTTGAAAGACTCGTTCGAGGTGAAAACCGGTGTCATGCAAGTTTGCTTACTCTCGCCCTTTCTCTTTCTCCTGGTGATCGACTGGATCATGAAGACGTCAACATCTGGAGGGAAGCATGGGATACAATGGACCGCTAGGATGCAGCTGGACGCACAAGTTTATGTTGACTAAAATGGCGGTGATCAATTTGTATGTACTTTGCAATAAATTGTTTTAGATTATGATGAATGTATAGTCTGTATAGTAAACCCTACCACTTTTAAACAGATCAAATTTTCGTCATCACGGATACCATCATTTCGAAAAAGATGAACATCACGATAAATTCTAATGATCACATCTTGCGCTTGTACTTTTTTATTAGATAATTCGGGAGGCTAAGTTTCATAACTTATCAGAGTACATGGAACAAGTGAATAAATTCTTTGATCGACAAAATGCTAATCACCTGATAATGCCAAAGAGACATGTAAGTCAATAAGATTAGCTCAGTTATTTAAAATCAACTGATTGTTTATTCAATAATGAGTCAATTGAAGTCAATTGATGTATGTTTCCATGCTTTCTGTGGTATGAAAGGAATAGATTTCGGAAGCATAGGTCAAGAGCGATAAAATTCTATGGATGACCCTGTAAAGCGAATTCGTAGAGAGATGGTGACTACTATCAATCAAGGTATCAAAGCATTTAACTTTCGCCGTGATGATCACTTTACAAAATTATTTGAGAAAACGTGTTCAAACAAGGTTTATTATGTTTTTTAACGAATGTATGGTGATGTGCTCAACTCCCCAGTATATCAGCGTAGAGTTATCATTAAAATACAGCACACACAAAGGGCGAGACTAAACTTTATGGACGACCTTTGAATGACTCTTAAATGACCTTGAGAAATATTAGCCAATCAGAAGACAGTGAGTATACAGTAAAAATATATTATACAAAACTAAAAAAATTAAAGGGGATACTGTTCTTTTACATGAATCAAAAACTTATCAACGTCAGATATAGGTTCAGAAGTTCTAAAATCATAGTGCATACAATACAGGAACACATCCATGTGGCTCCATAGTAGTCGACCTCTGAAACCATGATAAGGTCTAAAAAATTCTTTTAGCCTCGACCACATAGCTTCAATGTTGTTGGTATATTGGCATGGTTTACGGTTTAAGGTTAGAGTTAAGGTTTAGGGTTAATGGTGAGACTATAATTTACGGACGACCTTTGAGTGACGCTAAAGTGACCCTGAGAGTGTCAACATACTAACTAAGACTAAATGAGGGTTATAAACCTGTGTGAATAATTCAAATTATGATTTACAGTTCATGGTTAAGGTTAGGAATTATACTTAGGGTTTTCATCACGAACCGACAACAGCTATAATGCCAAAACTCTATTTATCCAAATGGATAATTGAATTTCGCGCCGAAATCTTATGATCACTTCTCTTGTAGACGCTGAATTATCACGTCTTCTCTAAAATCCGTTGTAAACCGACCGTACGTAAGCATTAGGTACCGAACTTAGCGCCGTGACCTTGAAAACCAATGGAAGCTTCTGATTGTCCCGTCAATAAAGTTTAGTCTCGCCCACACAAAGTTGAATCATTTAAAAATCATTCAGAATTCTAAACTAGACAGGCACGACAACGTGAATTCACGAGTTGTCGGTACGTTCTGAAATTGAGGTTTTATAAATGTCAAAATTATTACATTACTTTAATCTGATTCATTGAGTAATGTAATTTTGGCATTTATGCTTATTTGTTGAAGTATGAAGGGAAAGGTGAAAAACTTGTCGTAAAGCGTTGATGTTATTCTGAAAGATTTTTAGGATTTCAACATACAACGATTCAACGTTATGATATGTGGTGGTCAATATTCGACATATTCCTTAAACGTCGGATATTGTTCGTCTTGATAAGTGTTACTAGATAACGCCCCAACGGTGTATAAATCAGAAGGCGAATACAAAGTGTTAATTGTATTTATTATTGAATTACATACAGATATCCAAAATTACAAGCACTTTAAGCAAGCATAAAAGAGTAATGCCCGTAAAGCAAAAGAAATGAGCGTGCGGGTCGAATAAACGAGTAGGTGAGAGATCGATTGATCAAGACAGCGAGTACAGTAAACAGGATTAATTGTACATGATGTGTTATAAATATCAGTTCAATGAGAAACAATAGTGATTTATTTAAATAAAGTTGAAGGTTATTTGCGGACAATTTCTTAGTAAACATGTTTGGCAAAAATGTTATGGAATATTCACTTATAATTGTAGATTTGAATCTGAAGAGTTTAATTATTGACATCAGGTTAACAATCATTGAAAATCAGATGGCAGTAGATATGTTTCATTCAGGAATCGATCCTAACCCAATATCATAAAAGCTATGCTCTTCTTAGCGATCATTAAATTTATTGAGTTTATTCTTTAAAGAAGTCATTGATGTGGATTGCAATATAGTCTCATAATAGAACGAAATATCTGTCCTAGTTTCCCACTGCTATTCAACTGAATTTAGTCCATGATTTAAACTATGGAATTTTCATGTTACGTAGAGGTTACCTTATTTACAGTCTTAAGAATTCTGTTTGAATAAGTAGAAACTGTGCATTTTAAGAAGAAGAAGAAGAAGAAATATTTTCCAACCAACTTATCATTATCATTATATAAAATAAATCTGATTTTGTTATTTTTATAACTAACAGAACAAAAATCGTAAGAAATTGGGATCAATTTCTGAAAGAATCATGAGAAGAAATAACTCTATTCAAATTAAACGAAGTATTTATTTGGCAAAACATTATCCAAATGTTTTTACTCAATTCCCTAACAGTCATCCTAACTATATTCTATATGATAGTCCAAGTAGATCTCATTCAACTGATTTGAGGATGCGGAAGACATATAATTCATGAAATAATGAAATCATTGACGTTATTGCACTTTCAATGACAGATTTCTTGGTGTGTACATTTTCATCAAATGTAAGTAATATAGTTTGACTTTTATCTACAATATTACGTTGCTTGTTTCGACTGGAATTTGAATGAAACAAATAACGTTGAATAAACAGTTCACGTCAGTTTTACAGAGATGCAGTGATGATTACTACAAGATTGAGAATCATTCATTAATAATGATCAAGAAATGTAAAGATGTTTTGCTAGTCGATTGTATAATTTGGGAGTTGGAAAACCCTGATTCTAAACCAATGATGCACATCGACTCAAGTATCCAGATGGAACAAATGGTGTATGAATCAATCGTTGGTTATTGGCTACCATGGGACTGCATCTCCTCACGATGCTCCACTGTCTTGTGGATCAGATCTTTAGGTCAAAGGCTCAGGGTGTGGCCCGTTAAGAAAACCACTTGCTTCAGTTTGGGCACCTGATCAGTATCATAGCCCTCACACAAATCGAATGAGATTTGTGCGGTGCATATGTATCTGGTACCCCGTTGTATCAATATTAATGTGTATAAATATAATATAATAATAAAAATTTCTGAAACGTTTAGTCAAGAAACAATTAACAGTTCTTGATATATATATATCTGGAATTTTGATTGCAATGTTTCACTAATCGTCAAGCTATTTTGAATGTGTTTGTTCTCGAAACTAGTCACTAATGGGCAACGTTAGTCCTGGGTTCGAATCCTACTTGCACAATATTCGGTGCTCACTGCCAGTGAGTCCGATATTACTACAACGCAGCCATCCAGTGCTTACAGATTTTCTGTTGCAGTCAAACTTTGATCGGTTCATGATTTTAAAAAAGTTCAACAATCTCTACAATCCCAAGGTGAATCTGTTTACATTTAAGTCAACAATTATAAAATTTCATTTAAAATCCTAAGCTATGAAAGTACAAAATTTGATGATTACTTACTTACTTACTTACTTACTTACTTACTTACGGCTGATACCCTTCGTCAAGGAGCATAGGCCGCTTACCAGCATTCTTCATCGAACTCTATCCTGAGCTTTCTTTTTCAGTTGTTATTCATCCTTTTCATTATCTTTAAATAATCTCAATGAATACCCTTACAATTCATATATGACGGTTAATCTTATGCTTATTTTTCTTAGATTTGTCGTTTAGCTTATGAATTAATGCAAACACATCATATGGAATTGGGTGATGCAACACAATTATGTCATTCCATTGATATTGCATTCCATGAAGAAGATTACAGTAGACTAAAATTTGATGTGATTAGACCAGATATGAAAGAACAGTTAAAGTATGGTGATGTAGTGGATATTTTCATTAATCATGGAAATGGTTCAGCATCAGTAAAACTAGATCAATCAAGCAGAAATATACATAATAAAAGCCAAAAGAATACAAGGAACGAATTCTTTATGGCACCTGCTTATAAGTTTAGACCAAGAATAAACATAACTTGATCCAATTAACACAAGGAAGAGTATTTCAATAGACTACATATCATATTAGATTTAGTTTTACACTGCCGTCCTTTCTTTTTCAGCTTCCATTTTGGTGCCTTACATCAGCCTACACATAGTTAGGAACATATATATATATATATATATTCACACTCTTACAAAATTGTTGACTTTCAATTATGGGTGTTTCACTTAATTATTTGCTCAAATTGTACTATACTACTGAATAGATGTGATTTATAAAACAACAATTGACAAATTATAGTTCATTATTGACAAGATGAAAATATTTGTTCTAAATTTATGATTGTTTATGCATAGAGGAAAAAGTTGAAAATAATCAAAGATGGATAGTGGTTAGCAGTGGAATCCAGTTTGATGCGCGTCACTTCATCCTATTATGGGACTCGTCAGTTGGATGTACCTGCATCCACCAGAGTTGATGTTCACTCTGAGACTCGAACCTAGTAATTTTCGCTTCAAACGCCATCATGTTATCCGCTTGGTCAGTGAGTCCTGATAGCCACTTGCTTGTGCGATGGGGTAAAGTTTAAATTCATTTAGTATTGTTTGTTTGAAACCATGCTTGTGGATTAAAGGCTATATCGACGCAATACGCATAGTATTCACATATGCCAATTAGGGACTGACCAGTTGCAGTCCTAAGATATCAACGGGAAGATTCAAACAAACAATACTAAAGTTGAAAATAGTTTATAGTTCTTAATTGTATGTTTACTCAATCATGGTATCGAAGCATATGAATGGGATGTGCATGAAAATGAAAAAAAAATTCCAAGGAATGCAGACAAGTCATAAGGGATTGTTACCAATGATGAGAGAATGTAATTATAAAGACCTTGGTTTACCTAAGAAAGCTGCCACTTCGGTCATGTGATACCAGATGATAATGTAGATTTTACGACGAATATACTTCATAAAGGTGTCAATAGTATGTGCGAGTCACCAGTCAGTAGTTAGCATCATGCAGTTTAAGTGCTGAGTCGGCTTCCAGAGATCTCTAACAGAGCCTCCAGAGGCTCATAAAGAGCCCCCAACCAATCAGCGATTAATTAGAAGCTATGCTACTAAAATAATGAGATCCTGATTGGCTGTTTAACACACTGCTACTATGGAAACCCAAGGTCTCTTAATTACTATAAAATCCCTGTATTTTCTGTACATGAATGAATCCTGTAGTAAAGCGCTTCCCACACACTTTGTGCCTTTTCTCTGGTCTTTCAAGTCGGTGTATAGTTCTAGCTGGGGGGTACGGAACTAGCTTAGGGAAGCAAATATAGCGTTCACAATCGGCCAGACGTAACATTAAGCAAAATTGAACTACAACATTTGTGATTACATTTGTAAAGGAGAGAACTGAAGACAAATGAATGTAGAAAGTTACAAATTGATTGATTAGTCTGCATTGAAGACTACTGTGTCTCATTGAATAATTTAACTGAATATCAGAATACAAAGAAACTGACCTAGAAGTAGGTCAATCAACTGACATTCGAACAAATATTTGAGTTTAAATAGAGCAAGAAGAATAAACCTAGGATGGTAAATAGTCGGAATCCAGATTTACTAATAAAAGTGGTAGTAGTGCGGTGTGTGCTACTAAGATCCACAGTTGTAAGCAGTATGTATCACCAATCAAAATTGGAATGCCTAGCGTCATATGGTTGATAAAATGTAAGTGAAGAGAACGAGAACAGTGAGTGACTGAAATAGAAACGAAGAAACAACAAAGACCATAGTTAAGTGCCATATCTTTCATATGATAGTAGAAGATAATATAGATTTTACGATGAATATACTTCATAAAGTTATCATTTATATGTGCGAGTCACCAATCAGTAGTTAGCGTCATACAGTTTAAGCAAAATTGAACTACAACATTTGTGATTACATTTGTAAAGGAGAGAACTGAAGACAAATGAATGTAGAAAGTGACAAATTGATTGATTAGTTTGTATTAAAGAGGTGGTGGTCAACAGGAAACCCTGGGCCCGAGTCTCATGCTACTTGTCAAGTAGCACGATATTGATCACCACCCAGTGATCAATCAATCGTGACCAATATGATATGTATATTTCCTATTGTATAATTGTTAAGTAACTAAGCTATTCATATTCATTTTCCTTTTATTATGAGCTTTATTTTGACCCATAGACAATAACTGTACGATTTACCATTCCTGAGTTATACCCAGTCTATTAATTACTGTTCCCCCCCCTGATCACAGCCACATTTGGCTAAATCTTGTACAAATGTTATTTTCTATTTTATCGTACGATGTGGTCAGTTTGTTCGGTAATTTAAACCCAGTATGTTTGAGAATAATGATTCATATTGCAGCGATTGTTATTGGTGTTCTGGACTTAACTGGCTCGACTAAGCAGAAAGCAGGACTGGTAAATAATCAAGACTGCTTACACGGCTTTTGTGTATCACTGGTCTAATCGATGATTCACTGCTCTCCAATTGGCGGGATTCATCACGTTCATATATCAAACAGGTCACGAACACACTCAATATAACAGATAGTCTGTTCAATGATTGGTCAAACACATAAATGGATATGTGTTGTTAAGTTTCTGAGAATTTCACAAGGTCCTATGCAACAAAATGTTTCCATTTGATGTTTATAAGACCATTCGAAATGTCATAATAAAATACAAAAAATGCACAATATCAATTTCAGTAAGCGTACACCACTGTACTCAACTATTGAACACTAACAATTAATATAACAAGTTGTAAGGATGATTCGTTGACAAATTCAAGGAAGCTTCAAGAAGCTCAAAAATAGCAGAATACATCTTATCCAATCACCAATAGAGAAACATTCTGGAATGTCAACATGTAGCTTCCCTATTGGATGAATAAGATGGATCTCCTATGTGTCTATTGACTGTCCAAAACGATGATTTACTATCAGCCAAAAAAACAAACTATAAATACATGAGATTTTTTGTACTAGATTGGACACTGTTTGGAATAGCATTCCTAATTACTTGCCTTTTGACATCTCATTTTGCAACTTGAGAAGGTTCTAGCGTTCGAATGCTTAAGTATTACGTGATATATTAAGAAATTAAGTTTGAGATATAACCCAAGTGAATTGAGCGAGACTAAAGAACATGGACGAGCCAATCAGAAGCTTCCATTGGTTTTCAAGGTCACGGCGCTAAGTTCGGTACCTGACGCTTACGTGCGGTCGGTTTACAAAACATGATAATTAAGCGTCTACAAAATAAGTTATCATAAGATTTTGGCGCAAAATTCAATTATACATTTGGATAGAGTTGTGGCATTATAGCTGTTGTCGGTTCGTGATGAAAACCCTAAGTATAATTCCTAACCTTAACCATGAACTGTAAATCATAATTTGAATTATTCACACAGGTTTATAACCCTCATTTGGTCTTAGTTATTATGTTGACACTCTCAGGGTCACTTTAGCGTCACTCAAAGGTCGTCCGTAAATTATAGTCTCACCATTAACCCTAAAGCGTAACCCTAAACCTTAACCCCAATCTTAAACCCTAAACCATACCAACATACCGACAACACTGAAAGTATGTGGTCGAGGCTGAAAGAATTTTCGGGACTTTATCATGGTTCCAGAGGTCGACCACTATGAAGCCACAGGGATGAGTTCCTGTACCGTATGCACTATGATTTTAGAACTTCTGAACCTATATCTAATTTTGAGAAGTTTTCGAGCCATGTAAAAGAACAGTATCCGCTTTAATTTTTTTAGTTTTGTATAATATATTTTTACTGTATGCTAACTGTCTTCTGATTGGCTAATATTTCTCAAGGTCATTTAAGAGTCGTTCAAAGGTCGTGCATGTTCTTTAATCTCGCCGTGAATTGATTGAAAGTCATTTCTTACATTGAAATTCATTAACAATTCATACTATACATCCCCCCCCCTTTTTTTTGTTGAGAAAGTTATAAAATGAATGTAAGTATAAAAGTGTTTTTTTTTTTTTAATGAAGAATGTTCAATTCAATTGATTTCACAAGGTACATTGACCGTAGCCAAAGTTCACTTTCATCTTGAATATGACAACATATTCGAGTTTGATTTAACAAAAATGAAAGAAAAACAGTTAGAAGTTTAATAATTGAATACTTAATCGACTATAATAAGGTTTCTGATGTATAAAGCCTAGTGTTATATAATCTACATATAATGTAGTGAACAGAACACGACTGGGGACAATCGAAATGTATTTGAGTAGAAATTACAGACTATCTCAGTAAATTCTGATAACCAAACAATGAACAGTCAATTTGCAAATTAATAACCAATTGTTTCAATCTTCACTGTTTCTTCTCTAATTCCATTGTTCATGCATTTTCCAAACGATTGCGCTTCATTTCAGTTCTTTCCTCATCGGTCTTCTGCCAAAATACATTCTATGTCTGACCCACACCATATACTACTTATATGGATATAAGTAGACAACACCACAATAAGTCAACTACCATGAACAAAAACCATTTGCATAGTTAAATGAGAATATATATATAAATCAATTTGATAATACATTGTTTTATATAAGCTATATTCTTCTGGTATAATAATGACTTCATTCGATATTAGTTCATAGATAGTCAGTCTTATATGTTGACTGAATTCATTAACTATTATATAAGATTAATGAATTGTAACATGGTGGTTGGAGGTGGTCAACAGGAAACCCTGGACCCGGGTTTCGTGCTACTTGGCACTCGTCAGCAAGGTGTACCTGTAATCTTGAGGGAACTGACGCTCCCTGGCGGATTCGATCCCGCGTCACTCAGCTTCACAGTCAGAGACGTTACCACTGAGCTATTCGGGCCGCGACCGACCTCCTGTAGGACTGAGATCTAATCACAATTGATTGATCACTGGGTGGTGATCAATCTCATGCGTGTCAGGTGGCCACATGGTGGCCACATTGCAACTTGATCGATAGCATTCGATCAGCACTAAGGACCTG